ACTTGATCTAGGTAACAGGGCACCTTTAAGGTCCTGGGTAAGTCTTTACAAGAAAGGCAACACTTTTAAGTGTCTAAATGAGAACGCTGAGGCTTCTGCACTGAACTCCTGCCAGCTGCGGTGTATGAAATGACTGTCAGATGATTCTCCTTATTCCCATATGGTATAAAGTCTTCCAATAAAATGTAATAGTCCTGCTGTCCCACAAGAATCCCACAGATCCCACCCCCACTTTTCCCTGCTTTATATAGTAGTGTTAAAGCAGAACAATGTTCAGTGGTGCTTAGTGTATACTCACAGGAAGCATTAAATGACAGCAATTATTAGTTTAGTTATAAAAAATAAAAAAAGACACCACACCTTGTTAGAAAGCCACCATGGAAAGATATCAATAAAGGGCCCAAGCTAGCCTTCTCACTAGTCTGGGTTTCAGGGGACCTTTTCCTCGTCTCTACTGAAGGGCTAAGATTGGTTGTGCCACTGGGCATACACCATGTAGGTATGGCAGGCCTTTTATGTTTTCATGTGGGCCAGTTTGCAACGTGTGCTTCATTTCCTTGTTCCTTGATTTACTTCCTTTGGGGAGGGAGGGTCTTGCATAAATAAATCTTAATAAGTCCAATGTAAACACGTACTAATCAAGTACTAAATATAGTTTAGGTAGTTGCTCGTTTTCTCCACATTACTTCTACAATAAGGAAATGTCTCACTCGGACAAATGAATGGTTCAAATCCATTACACCTCCATATAGGGAGGATTCAGTTCGCTCTGCTAGTGTGCAACTACCCAAACAATGAAATGGAGGATGAAGTAACAATTGAAGCAGCAGACCAGTATTTCTGGCTGCATTAGTCTGTCTTTTCAGAAGACGTGGCTCAATGAATAGAGAGGGAACATTGTAAAACAGGAAATCAGACAATCAAGAGATCATGTCTAGGGAAGTGGACAAAGAGTGCAAACCTCCAGCAAATGTGAACAGCGCATGTTAATGCAGAAACCCATTTTGGACCAACTTACTCCAATAATTTCAATGTTTCTGCAGCAAAACACATTGTCCCTTTAATAAACCTGCTTTATCGCTGTATTATGTACAAATTCCAGGTATACAATGTCACTACAGTGAACTGGTGTCACACTGATAATGAGAGTCATATTCAAATAAGTTCCTCAAACTATCAGCCCGTACCAACGCTTGTGTAACATGACAACATGTCAGGTCAAAGCCACTCAACACATCGGCCATTTTACACCGTCTGAAAGGTGTCACAAGTCACTTCTCTACATTTGACAGCTCTCTTCTGGTATGTGCCTAGTGCCCGTTTATGGTGATAGGATGGTAGTCCATCTTGGGCCGTAACTTTCGCTGAGAGTTACAGCCTTAAGTTGACTTAAACAGATCACCATAAGCACTGGTAAAATGGTGTTAAGCTTGTTCAATGGTAATTAAATTAGATGATTATAAATTATACTCGCCCTACACGTAGAGAGTTCTATCGTAACATTGAATCATGCACCAATCATTCCATTCGAACGCCAGGTTGGAACTAGTTGTTTACTAATGTACAATAATAAGAACTGATAAAATGATGTTAATCACACTGAGTCCAAATTTCTCAAATAGCTATGTAGTTGGCAAATAAGAAGTACTACTACACCTGTGTTATTATTATTTTCTATACATGTGAATTCATAACAATAGCCAGTAATCGCGGCACTGGTGTTTTGAACACACCTGATGAAACTCACCAGCCCTTACTGTTGGATCAGGGTGTGAGCATCAACTGGTTCAGGTGTGCTAGAGCAGAGAGAACTGGAATATGGGCAGGTAGGGGTGGCTAAAGGTCTGGAGTTGGGATTCAAAATGACAACTACCAACCCAAAGGCTGCACAGGACCTAAGCTCTCTAAAGGTCTAGGGAAAACCCTCCAATAACTTACAGCTTAGTTTGCCAGTCATGTGTAAAAAGGGCACCATTAGGCTAACCTGACATAAAATATTAAAACAAATAGCCTTTCCAGTCCAGTTAAGCAGCGGCACATTGACTAACCAGACCAAAATATACACTTTAGTCTGACAGCAACAGCGACAGTCATGTCAACACTGAGCCCGTCTTCATGTCCGGTGCCATTTTGTCATGTATCTTGAGACCCGACACCAAAGGCTTTCTATACATGGCCCTTAAAACAGACTGTGTTTGTGTGGGAGTATCCATCCGTGACCTTTTGCCTACAAACCCAGTTATGGACACACCATGACCCCAAACTTTTTTATCCACACCTAAATCCCCACTAGGTTCTGTAGGATGAGTTAGGGTGCATTCAGACCGACAATAGCACTACAGCAAAACACCACAAGCCTGTATTGGTACAGGCACGTTGCTAAAGGGTACACAAACAGGGCATACCAGGAAGTTCAGCTTAAGGGTTATTAATCACCAAGATAATGCACTTTGGTTTTATACTCTTTGAAGCCCGGGTGTGCAACAGTGAAAAGTTACCACAGCAGCAGTTTATCTCCGTCTGATCTTCTTCTAGCTTGTGGAACAATGTTGCACACTACCACTACTACCTGACATGTACGCTTGCAAGGATCTGATTAGCCATCACAGTGTGATGGTGGATAATGTTAAATATAGCCAAGTCAGACTTTTTTGATGGGATGTTTTTTTGTTTGTTTTTTTACCAAAGCCTTATGCAGAGGCCATCTTGTTGAATTCAATGAGGAAGTTTGCTAATATTAAAGGTTAATACTCACATGTTTGTACAAGTAGGTGTTATACCAATATGTTCAAAACAAACCTTCAACTATGACATCATCTGAATATGGAAAGGCCCTGTACGTGTATGTGTAAGGCTGCTCTAAAGACTTATATAACCAACTGTATTGTTTATGACCTCTGTTCCAGGTAAGGGTGTAGCCAATTAAGAATATGCATGTGTCACTGTGTGTGTGTGTGTGTGTGTGTGTAGTTCTTTGCCTACACTTACCTACTTACATACCAGTCTAGCTGTCGACTTGCTTTCCTGTACACTCTAATGGAAGCAGTGATCCATTGTGTGAGACAAGCCAGCACACACACCAACACACGCAGTGAGATCATGCTATCAACAGACAACTTCCGTCAGCATTTTATCCGCACAAGAAGTGAAGACAGACTAAATCTTTTAACCTTTGAGTCTCCAGCACCCACAGGTTTGCCTGTTGGCTGGTAAGAGCAGATCTGCATTCTGGTTGGCTGTGCAGCGGCAGTTTACACACCTGGGTTGGGCTTTCAATGTTTCAGGTAGGAAACTGTTTGACAGAGGGTGCAGCTCTTGGGAAAGACTGAAAAGAAAGCATGATTTAAGAACGCTCCCCTTGTTTATCGTGTTATATTCCTATAGCCTTGCTTTGTGTTATTTAACTACTTTTTAACCAAATGCTTTTTTTATATGTGTACAATGGGACTGCATGACATCATATTGCGATGTGATTCACTATTGGTATTTTAAATGATTTATATTTGTGATAAATATGCAAATATAAATAATTTTAAAAATATATAATTAATTAATAAACAAACACGTGTACATTTCCTCTATTTATGCTGATGTACTCATTAAAGCTACTGGCCAACAGCTGAAACATTATATCAAATCCTAACCACAGCTACATTTCTATACTTACAGATACTCAAGCAACACAAATATAGAAATGGGTTAAGCTTCGCACATGCTGACATCAACCAACAGCTACTCTGTCAACATGTGGACACGCAAAATTTCCATCTATCGCTCATAAAGAGATTTTTCATCACAGGATGCTTGTCAACAGCTGTCCAAGTAATGCAAGTCATGGTCTGTATTGGAAACTATAATGGTTTTCATGTGAGCACTTTCCATAATTACAATGAATCTACAGATAAAATTGTTTACAATACTGAGACTGATACTGTAGTCTCGGAAGCAAACCTTCTAAAAATGACTTGCAGAGCACAGCCAAGGGCTTTTTTTTGTCTTTTAAGGACACTACCAAAGTGTTTTTCTACTCAAGTCAATAGAAACATGAAAAACACAATCTTTTCAAATCTCCAGCTCTGCAGTTTTGACACATGTATTCTTGGGATGGTATTTATAGTGTGTTTAGGAGCTCTCTGGCCTCTGGGTAAGGGTCAGTCGTTTTAGGTCAACAGAGGATGTGTATTGTTTGCGAGTGCCTGTACTTAGACTGAACCCAGAAATAATATTTTCAGCTTAACATCTTGGAGCCGATTTTAAAAAACACTTCTGAGTTTAAATCTAAATCTCTTCCAGGAGGCCTCTGGCTGCGTATAATTTATTTAGTAATCAATGAGCGATAGATCTTTATTCTTAGTTTGCACCAAAGAGATTGAAATGATTGTTTTAGGTCGTGCTTGTACTATAGAAGTTGTAAATTAAAATGATTAATTAAAAAATTCACATAATGTATGAAGTGCCCAACAAAAAGTCAACCTTCTTCTTCTCTCTCTCAAAAATAACATTTCTCAAACTTTACTGACTCTTTAAACAGTGGACAGTGTTCCCAATGGCCAAGGGTTAAATAAACAACATTGTCACACATGCACTGTGGTGAATTAATAATGCATCGGGCTATTATGTGGATGCTGGGTTTGTCTACTGTCAGCAACTTAGAATTCACATGGAAGTGGCTGACAGGTTTGCCTGTATCTCAACAGGTCAAAGTAATGAAAAGTGAAGCAGGAGGACAAGCCCCAACACCCAGACTAAACAGAAACCTAAATTTGTTCTTCTATTCTGCAAGGAGTGGGAAATCCAGTGTGAGTGCGTAGGCAAGCTGGTGAATCACTGCTGTGTGGCAAAGACAACAGAGACAGAGAAAAAAAAACAAGGAGACAACCAGAGACTGTGGAAGGCCAAATTGGGCCTCTCTCCACAGCAGATAAGCGTTTCTAACTAAAGTAGACTGGTTGGTAAACATCAACTATAACATTATCTTGGAGAACAGATGTGTATCTTACCTGGCCGGTCGAATTTTCAATGACTTGCACCAGTGGGATCCTTGTTGACATTTTTGAAAGACGTGAAGTTGCCAAAAAAAAAAAGGGAAAGCAACAGTGAAACAAGAACGATTCTTCAGTGTCTATTGTGCATTTAAAACCTGTGTAGTTTATGGCAGAGGGGAATTTCCAAACAGATGTCCAGTGCTAGCCAGCTAGCAGCAGCAGCACCACCACAGATAGCCTGTGAATCAACAAGTTGAATCCCACATCAGCGGCTAGCCCAGTTAGCCAGCTAGCTAGAAACTAGCTAGCAGCAATCGCACGTCCCATGTTTGTCAACAAGCACAAAACAGGAAGGAAAAAAAAAAGAGCAAACGTCTTCTTCAGCTTCGTCCCTTGGTGTGAAAACAAGTCAGTTCCCAATCAGCATTTATCAGCGTCGACGGTGAGCTGCGAGCTAACAGCCTGACGCTGTGACGTTTTGGCCAGCTAGCTACTCGGGCTAGCTCGAAGAAAAGTTAGTCAGAGGTTGAGTTCAACAAGACAGGGTTCAATTAGGTGGCTACCATGCTAACCTGTAAGGTTGCTAACTAATGTCTGGAGAAAGCCCCAACTGTCGCAGAAATGTACTAGCAGTGTTTATCCGGTGTTGTTTTCATACCGCGGGGTCGACGCCTGTTTTCTCTCGTTTCGTGGCAGAGAGGTTTCCCTTCAGGGTTTGAAACCAGCTCCGAGGTCTACAAACTTTCAGGCCAAAGTTATTCCCGGCGAGGTGTCGACCTTCCCAACTCTCACAAAACAATTCAAACTGTTCCCAGTGAGATATCCAGGGTTAGGGTATCCGAACAATAAAAGCAGCACCATGAAAAACGATCACATGGCAGAGAGAGAAACACGAATGAACAGGCTGGCCGATGTTAGCCCATGTAGCTGGCTAATTCACTGTTTCTTCCGAAGCAACGCTAGCTAGTTAGCCTCCGGTCCTGCGGCCGCGGCGGCGGTGACTGCCACACGGCGACCCACAAAACTCAAAATCCACGGAAATCACCGGCGCTCTTCCTTGTGTTGCGTGATTGGAATAAGGTCGTTCACCAGTGCTGCACTGCAGTGTGGCGATAAACCCGTTCGTCCCGTCGCTACACCGACTACTATTAATCCCGACACCAGCCGACTGAACGAGGAATCATCAGGTTGTAAAATCCATTATCGGTAAACTGGGGCTTTCTTGTTAGGAGGTGCGTGTCACGGGCGACAGGGGGAGAGAGGCGAGGAGCTGCGCCCGAGTCCGTCTATGCGCACGATCCTGCCCTGATACCGGAACAAGCTCGCGGCAACATGGCTGCTTGCACCACGACTGAAAGGATCGGGGAGGAGGGAGGGAGGAGGGGGTGAGGGGGGTTCGGTCTGCGCTCGGCTGTACTCGGGTTTTTCCGACCCTTTACTGGTGACCGCGATTCCTCCAGGTTGGTAAATGGCAGGTGCAGAGGATTGTGTGCTCTGTACTCTGGCTCACTGGAGACGGAACCACAGGGGGCACAAAAAGCTCCACGTACACTTGTGTGTCACTTACTTTTTGGTATTTGATAACTTCTAAATGTGTACCACTGAAGTACAATGTGCATTATTATCTTGTGGAGGGGCCCTGTGTCCAAATCTAGTTCTAACTTTGTATCCCAGCCCCCCTAAAACCCACCCATCCATGATGGCTGGACTGATGTTGGTCTACATATAAATAACTAAACTAATGTCGTGTAGTCTTGATGTTGCTAGTGGTGTAAACGATGGAGGGGATTCCAGGGATCCACAGAAAATTCAAGTATGATTAATGAAGGGACCAAAGAACCTGCTAAGATGAGTTTCATTCACAAACATTTGTATGCACACGTACATATCCTCATCTCTCTGGAAACTCCAGTCCTGCAGGTGACTCACGTGTCACCTGGAAGAGTGGCCAGATATTTCTACAATGGAGTCACACAACTATTTCCTTACACCTGTCACACTCTTAGTTTTCTGCTTTATACCTCAGAGAATCCAGTCCTTTCTACATAAGCACAACCAAAAGTAGGTCACGTCAGGGGTCATATATTAGAGCAATGAGCCTGCAGTGATATAGTGCCTTGCTCACAGGCAGGGTGATCTTTGCTGACACTGGGAATCCTCTAGTAGTTGAAGGATACTTTAATAATTATTCCTTTCTTTTGTTAACTATACAGAACTTTGGTGTAAACTTTAAAATTTCTTCCCCATCGTTTTTATCTGAATGTATCAGAGAGCATAGCCCATTGTTAAACTATAGTGTAGTTGCATTGTGGGTCCTCGTTGCATTGTGTCATTTGTAAATATGTACCATAAGTCTGACTGTGACATGCTGACAGCTGGCATAGACATTTTCAAGTTACTTAGCAACAGCCATGGACTGAGGAAGATAAAATGGCTGCCATTGCAAGTGGTGATGTCTGAACTCTGTCAATCAGGAGGGTCCGCAGAGAGTAGTCACCAAATATTCACCATTCGCACAATGCAAGGATGTTATGGAGAAAATAAAAAAGAAATCAGGAAATGAAGTGGTATGAGAGGCTCGTTAGTAATGACTGGGAGAGCATCCAACTGGCAGGATTTCCCGATGAATCAAGGGAAAAATCACATCCCTCATGATGGACAGAGTGTACTCAGGGGTGTATACACAGTTAAATGAGACAAACACCTCTGTTTTCAGTGCATTACAGTGTATTCATATCATTAGTACCCTTGGTACTGCATCCCTGGGCCCCTCTTGTAACTTCTCTATCAATATACACTCAAACTAATCCAAGTCACTTGGCACAATATGTCATATTGGAGCGCGTCCAATTTGATGGAGGATCACAGAAGAGCGGATGTCCCATGTATCGTACAGTATTTTTGCAACCAGCTCTGAAAATGTGCAAAAAAGCTAATGTTTAATGTTTAATGACCACATGACCTCAATGACTGTACAGATGTTTAAAGATTTTACATGAGCGGTAGGAGCAAGAGTCTAGTTTGTTGCTGGGGGAAATGTGCTGAAGTGTCGCCATCTGCAGGACGCCTGAATATATTACAGAGTATAAACTATCTATCTATCTATCTATCTATCTATCTATCTATCTATAAACGTATATCCCCAGGTGCATCCTGACACTATTTCCTGCGGTGTGTCCCATAAATATTTGGATGAAAATGCATTTCTTGGCAGCCATACTCCAATTTTGCTTTGGAGAAGAAATGACACTCTGAGTAGGAGGTTGAACTGCAGACTGTTAATTGCAGCTGATTTGAGGGTATTTTAAGTCTCATTGGATGAACATTAAAAAGCATACCAGCCTTTTTATCTCCAGTCTCCCATCTCAGGCTGCCAAATGTATCTGTCCAGATTGAGGCTGTAATAACAGTTATTTTTAATATGTAGCCAATAATTCTCTCTGTAGAAGCTGGCACCCTGTCCTATACACATCACCAGACTGTTGATACGTTACTGTCAGGCTGTCCCTCCAGCCTCATTTGCATTTCTCTCACAGTCCTACTGTTGGTAACTCTCTGTGGCAATATGCAGATCTTGATTACTGGCGTCCAATTCAAACAGCGTCCAAATTCTCCATCATGTTGTCACATGTATGATCCAAATGCACTGGAGCATGAACCGCCCAGCTGTTACCAGTGATTTCACTTTTGGTACGCCAAATATTGAATTAAGTTTGGAATTATTAAAGCAATTCTTAGAAAAGTATTTTTTAAGGTAGAAATGAGGACAGAAATGCATTTTTTTCTGATTCCTGCTGTCACATTTTAAAGCCCCTACAAGGAACTTTGATATTGTGTTGATTCTGGTGGCCCCTGTGGACAAAAGCGGTAGTGCTTCTACTGTCTCATTTCATTGATTTCAAGAGGAATCCCACCAAATCAGACCTGGTGGCAGACATTAAGAATAACTATCAACAAATAGCCAATTTATAAAAGGTTGACTGTACAGGACGTGCCTTCCCCCACCCTGATTAAGCTGTAACACCAGTTAAAATCAGCATTTGAAATCCAAATAGTATCTAAAGTGGTTGAAATGTTAGCTCCTGTCACTCCAACTTGTGACGGTACAAAGGCAAACTTGACTAAAAGAAACAAAACACCAAGAACATCAACAATCTGCTGTGACAAATACATTGTAACAATGTCCACTTTTATGACCTGTGTTAAATGACCTCCGGTTTAAGGTCTATTCAAATCAGAACATTTGGAACATGTTAGGAGGGGTTGATGAAGATGTACTCGAGATAATCTTATGGGACAGCGGGGATTTGTCTGGAAAAACCCACCCCATAACGTACATCATCAACAGGAAGGAGCAATCTGCCTCGATATAGCTGATCCTGGACAAGAAGTGAATCTTTTCTCTCCGGCAGATCATTCATAGAGATATTATCACCAGAGCACTGGAATAATTACAGTACAGGTGCTCATATACGTCTGCGCTGTAACCTATAAGATGTACTGGACGTGATTATAGAGACAAGCAAGAGAAGCAGAAGACAGCAGAGCACACAAACCAACATAAGATTAGTGAGAGTACAAAGTATAAGGATCATCTTTCTTTTGCCCAATTCATGGCCTAACAGACTGAAAGGGTGACAGTCCTTCCTTTACATGGCAATTTAGTAGGCGCTGACTCACAGCGTGGGCAAAATTAGTGAAGAAGTAAGAAGAGGGGAAAGCAATAGTCTGAATCTGTGCAACAATAACACTAAGTGCAACATCATGTCCTTTAGTAATAAGAGAACTCCCATTAAGTACGTTGCATTTTTTATGATTTGCAGCAAAGGAATCGAGTGGGAAAAGGCACGTACTTACTTGTCTTAAAGGGAAACGAGGAAACTGATTTGTTTTTGGTTGAAAATTTTGAGGAAGCCAGGCTTTCCTTTGCATCACCAGAGGAAATGCCACGAAGTAGGTGAAACCAGCTTCACAGTCTGTTTTCTAGTCAGATGGGAAGCAAAAATCTTCTGTGGGTGCATTTTAGGACAAATTTGATTTTAAATTAACTTCTTGCTTTCAGTCTTTGTCTCATCTATTTTTAAATATCTGGGTTCACCTGCTTCTGCTCCGAGGTAATGGAGGTCTCAGTCACGTCAGCGCTGTTCATCCTACTGCTGGGTCGGATCACGATGATCGTCGTCCTTATCCTCACACAACACAGACTGCAGTGAAGACGACTGATGGTGTTTCCTCTGTAGATCCACATATGCTTTTAAACCCAAGATCTATTTTCACTATGATTGGCATCAGATTACATGTTTCTTTCGAGTAAACTTCCTAAGAAATTAGTATGAACTCACAGACCTGTAAAAGTCAAATCACTGTATTTATTTTGTTGTTATGTATATTATTTAATTTCTGGTATGGATAATAAAAGTTGGCCACACTTTCAGAAAAAGTTTGTGCCTATTGGATTTTTGAGAGTAAAAAAAGTTCTAACTGGACGATTATTAACAATATAAATGAGAACTAATTCTATATATACACTCCCTCTTGTGAAAGAGAGTATATATAGTATATAAAGAGTATATATAGATTAACATGCAAATTAACATCAACATTATTTGCTCTGAAAAAAAGAACATAAGCACCATTATTGACCCGTTTCATTTATCTTGATATAAGTCTTGAAGCAGGTTACTACAGTAGACACTGACACCTCAACAACACAATCTTTAGAAGCAACATGTACACGTGCATCAGATATTAATGTATGTGTACATCTATGTTAGTATAAATTGATAAAGGGAATTTACTTACCCATCTTATTGTGTCAAATCTTTTTTATAAAACAACTTCTTCCAGAGCATGAAATCATGTATAACAATGTCTGCAGACACAAGACCCTCGTCCCCCCTCAAGTGCAATATTTGTATCATTTTTATTGCAGCCTCTTTACTTTCTCAATGTGTTTGTGACAATTAATGTCTCAGTAGACTTGGCTGTACATAATATTTAGTAGTTAATAGTGACTTATCTAATATATGTATCTGTTCTTGTACTTGCTGCTGTGACACCTCAATTTCCCTGAGTGGGATCAATAAAGTTTATGTGATGTTTTATTATGTGATTTCTGCTCTGAGGGGATGAACAGACATGGAAACATTTACAGCTTGTTTCTTACATTAAATAAGAGGGCATTAACTGACTTACTGAGCCTCCTGTTACCAAAGAGGTTGGCTGTATAATCCACTGAAAATATTCAAGTTAAAAAACAGTCACATTCATGACACCATTATCAGCGATTCAGCAGGAATGAGGATAATCCCTCTCGAGCACCACTAATCTTTTATTAAAACGTCTGCATTTAG